CATGTGATCTATTCCCTGCCCATACGCCTCGAAAGGCTCCCTCTTTGTATACGGTGGTCTAACGTTCAAACTCACACTGTTGCATAACTGTCGATCCCGTCGCATGTTCCTACTTCGCATGAGAATATGGAAGCAGCTCTACTCCGCAGTGATCGACGTCGTCCAACGATCTCCGCGTATCGATTCTGGAATCTATGCCGCTGGTGGAGTGCTATCCTTTTTTCCTTCTTCTTTCATGATTGCGACCTTATCTTGGGCACCGTAAACCACGCTAAATCTGTATGACGTCAACGGTTACTTTCCTGATGTGCGGGGGGGCTTACAGACTCGATCTAGTCTATCCTGCCTGTCATGCTCCTCCTCATCGTCGGCTCCATGTCAATACACCACCACACCACAACAACAACACAACAACAACACAACAAACCTCGCAGCAAGGCGGAAAGGGAGCCAAAGAGGCCCGGAATCGAGTCCTTGGGAACAGGCTCGTCCGCGCCTTTTGTGTTTTCCTTCACAGTGGCATCAACGCCTCCCCTTGCAGGTCATCACAGAACGCCAGCAATGAGCGCGAAGCAGAGCACACCAGCAGCAACGATAGCAACATTCGCAACACAAGCAGCACAAGCAGCACAAGCCCTTGTCAAAGCGCGCCAACTCACAACGACTCGATGAACCCTTTCAGCGTCGTCACAATGTCCCCACGCTGCCTCAATACCTGAGCTTGAAGCTCTTGCTTCTGTTGACACAGGCTGTTCACAGCAGACACGACAAAGGGGAGCTCGAGTACAGGGAATGCAAGGATGGCTTGAATGTGCTCTATATTTGTTGCTGGGGATGTAGTCAAGGCCCAATACACACCCAGCCCACCCACACACATAGTACACAACATACACACACACCTGCCGTGGTGAGCTTGGAGCATGGAGAGTTGGGTGTGGTGTTGCTGCTCGTATGTCTGCAAGCGACCAGCGGCAGCTAGCAGCTGCGAGTGCTGCGCCTCCAGCAGTTCCAGCTCTTTCTCCATGTCCCCGCATATCTCTGTCAGGTCTGCCACGTCGGCCTCGACCTCCGCACGCCGTTGCTCTGCAACCCAACGTGCGCAACAACAACAACAACAGCAGCAGCAGCAGCAACAAAAGCAAACAGGCAAGCGGAACATCAGACGAGCGCCTGGGCGAGTACTCGCGAGACTGCACGCAGGGGACACGTTCATGTGCGCGAAGCAGACTCAGAAGAAGCATCTTGCACGAGTGCACAAGTACAGTCAGGCGCCTTACCCCCCCCTCTCTCTCTCTGTGTCTGTGTGTCTCTCTATTCTCCCCCATCACACACACAGTACACATACACACATACACACACGCACGCACGCACACACACACACACACACACACACACACACACACACACACACACACACACACACACACACACACACACACCTCTTCCCACCTTCTCGGCGAATGCTGAGCAAGAGTTGCTCCTCAATGCTCTCTGCAGACATGGCTGGCGCGTGCTGTGTGGTGGTGGGTTGCGAGCGTGTGTGTGTGGGGGGGGGGGGAGGTGAATAGTGTCTGGCCTCTGTCGCTGCCGAGTGCCTTGCTCACTTGTTGCTGGCTTGGTTGCTGTCAATGACTTTGCTTCTTGCTTCGGTTCTTTGGTTGCCCCCCGCCCTCTCTCTTCTTACAGTGCGTGCACTATCCCAACACGACAGCTGTCTGTTTTGTCTGTTTTGGCGGGAACACAAACGTCAGCAAATGTGCGGTTAACGCAGAAGAGGGATGTGCGACTGTGCAACTGCTCTTAAGGCGCAAACACTGAGGTCTAATGAAAGTTGTGAACGAATGCTGTTGTTTTGGTGTGGAAGACGGCTTTCACCAAATTTCGGCAGCAAAGTCGAACTGACATCATGGCGCATGACACAACAAAAACACACATCAGTCAGTCTCAGCGGTCTGGAACTGACACCGGCTCACAACACACACACACACACACACACACACACACACACACACACAAACACACACACACACACACACACACACACAAACACACACGCACACATTTTCCTCTCTGCAGTCTCCCTTCAAGCCTTCAACCACCCACTAACACCAGCACAGCACACTGGAACACCCTCTGCAGCCGGCAGCAACGAATCCGAGGCACTCAGCTCGACACCTCGACACAGCGTACAACTGCCAAGCTGCAGGCCCAAGAATGCATCGCGCAACTCGAGGGGACTGGCGCAGCACGAGTGAAGACGAGGACAGGGACGCTTCAAGCCGCCCTCACGCAGGTCATGTTCAGGCAGACCACCGCTTTGCTCGTGGCCATCACCGCCATGACCAGCGTCACCGCCAGCGCCGCTACAACCCGCGGTGGTACACGCAAAGCAGGCAAAGCGGCGGCAGCAGCAAAAGCGACACCCCAATCCAGGACACGCTGGCGGCCATGAGGCAGGCCGAGGCGGATGCTGATGTGCAGCAGGACGGCTGCAAGAGCCTGGGAAGCATTGCGTATCACTGTAACAACATTCACACGCATACGCTCATTGTGAGAGAGGGCGGCATTGAAGCGGTGGTGCGTGCAATGCGCAGGCACGCCGACAACGCCAGTGTGCAGTACTTTGGGTGCTCCGTGCTGCAGACGCTGGCCATCAACAGCAAAGACGAGCGGATGATGTCGTTTCGTCAGAGGCAGCGCAGCAGCTCGAGCGACAACGCAAACAGGGATGCTGCTGCCACCGCTGGTGCTCGTGATGGCGCGTCTGCCGCTGACCCGCGGCAAGCCATCAGAAACAGGCTGCTGGAACAAGGCGCTGTTGCGCTAGTCGTGACGGCCATGGTCAGGCATCAGCACAACGTGGGCATCCACCGGGCAGCGTGCGCGGTGCTGAAGGGCCTGACAATTGTTCGCAACACCTTCAGGATCATGGTTGACGCGAGCGCCATCGAGGCTGTTGTTGGTGCAATGAGCCGGTTCGTGGGCGACACCGACGTGCAGTGCAGTGGCTGTGCTGTCCTGCGAAACCTGGCTGCGGAAGCGTACAGGCGGCGAGCATCGGATGAACAGCACACGTCGAGCGCACGCGACAAGGGCGACCAGCACGGTGCTGGTGACGACGATGACGACGACAGCAACGACAGCAACGACAGCAACGACAGCAGCGACAGCAACGATGAAGACGGTGGGGATAGCAAGGGTGGCGGCAACATTAAAGATACCACCACCACCACCACCACCACCACCAACGATACCACCACCACCACCAACGATACCACCACCACCACCACCAACAACAACAACAACAACACCACCACCAACAGCACCACCAACGATACCACCACCACAACCAGCAGCGCCGCCACCAACAACGATACCACCACCACAACCAGCAGCGCCGCCACCACCAACGATACCACCACCAACAACAACAACAACAACAACAACAACACCACCAACACCACCACCAACGATACCACCACCACAACCAGCAGCGCTGCCACCACCACCAGCAGCGCCGCCACCAACAACAGCGGCAGTGACGCGCGCGCTGAAGCCGAGCGACGCATGGTGAGCAGCGGTGGCATCGAGGCGCTGGTGCGTGCAATGAACATGCACCCAGACACCAAGAACATTCAGTTCCAAGGGTGTGCGGCGTTGGCCGGCCTGGCAAACCCGTACAGCGAGGCCTACAAGGAGCAGCACACGGCGCACATTGTCGAGCACGGCGGCATCGAGGCAGTGATCAGGGCAATGGGTAATTACGTGCGAGATGCGCGCGTGCAGCAGAGCGGGTGCAGTGCGCTGCGCCACATCTCGTACCAGCGCAGGACAGCCCAGAACGCGTTTGCAATCGCGGAGCAGGGCGGCGTCGAGGCTGTGCTGGTGGCGATGGCGGCGCACCCGGACAACGCCTACGTGCAGCACCAAGGGTGCGCGGCGCTGCAGAAGCTGACCTACTACGAGGACCTTCGGGGGCTGGTGGTGGCAGCGGACGGCATCGACGCCATCCTGCGGGCCCTCCACCACGAAGACCACAGGCGCAACTCCCGGGTGCAGCAGCAAGGGCTGCGCGCGCTGCGGAACCTGGCGCTAGACAGCGACGCCAACCGGCGGGCGATTGTGGACGGTGAGTGCGGTGGCGGTGTGGCGGCCACGCTGCGCGCCATGCAGAAGTTCCAGGATGCGACGGGCATCCAGGTGCGCGGGTGCAGCCTGATGTGGCAGCTGGCGCACGTGGACCACGCCAAGCACAGGTTCATTGCCAACAAGGGCGTCGACCTTGTGCTTGGGGCGCTGCAGAAGCAGAAGCACGCGCACGACCCGTATCTGGTGCTTGAGGCGTGCGGTGCGCTGGCCAAGTTTGCGGAGGACGATGCGACTCGTGCGGACATGGTGAGCAAGGGCGGTGCTGGCATTGTGGCGGCGGCGATGGCGCGGCACGAAAGCAAGGACAACTACAAGGCGCGGCACAGGCGCAAGTGGGGCTGCGTGGTGTTGTGCACGCTTCTGCGGGCGGGCCGTCGTGAGGACAAGGCGGCGGTTGTTGAAAACGGCGGCGTGGGTGCGGTGCTGTGTGCGATGGAGGAGCACCCGCACGCCCGTGACCTGCAGCGCAAAGCATGCGAGGTGCTGCTCCTCCTCCTCCTGTGTGCTGATATGGGTGATGTGGCTGAGGATGATGGTGATGTGAGTGATGGTGATGTTGGTGGGGACGGCGATGGGGATGTTGGTGGGGTGAGTGATGATGGTGGTGTGAGTGATGGGCATGACGATGACGATGATGATGATGATGATGATGATGATGATGATGGTGTGGTGTGTGTTGACGAGGACGATGATGATGGTGTGATGTGTGTTGACGAGGAGATGAAGGAGGCGCTGGTTGCACACGCCCTCCACGACTGTGCCGTTACGGCGGTGACACGAGCCAAGGTGCAGCACCCGGCGGATGCTGTGCTGCAAGGGATGGTACGCAAGCTGCTGGCCATTTTGGGCAAAGAGTGAAGAGATTGGCGTGTGTGCGTATGTGTTGAGTGAGTGTGTGTGTGTTGTGTGGACGCGTGTCTTTGTGTTTGTGATTCTGGCTTGTGCTCGACACTGCACTGTTTGTTGTTGTTGATGATGAAGCTGTGTTCGGTTCCATGCTTGCTTGTGTTACCCTCTGAAAGGATGCCGCTGATACGGTGTTGGTTGGTGTTGGTGTTGGTGTTGGTGTTGGTGGTGATGTTCGTCCCTTTGTGCGGCGTGTCTGCGCCGTTTATTCCTACATCTCCGCACGTGTTGACAGACTGCATAAATGCGTTGCAAAAGACGGGGTGAATCTACTTGCGCGGTGACAAGAGACAGGGAGTTGGGACAAGGGGCAGAGCGGAGACGAAGGGGGCGGTCGGAGTTGGGAAAGGGAAAACAAGACAAGCGCACACGCGCGCATGTATGTGGCAAACACAGGGCTCCTTCGACTGTAGTTGGTGGCCGTGCGGTGCTGCAGCAGGTGTAAACATGTGGCGAGGAGCGGTGAGGGAGAAAGGGGGAAAGGAGAAAGGCGCACCTTCGGCACGAGAGCAAGGGGGAGAAGGGTCGTTCATGCAAATGCTTACATGCAGAGATACGTGTACACGTAGATAGACAAGCAGATAGAAGGGGTGTTGACGTACATGCACAGACACACAAACAAGACAGAAAGAGAGACAGAAAGACAGAGAGACAGAAAGACAGACAGACAGACAGACACACACACACACACACACACACACACACACACACACACACACACACACACACACACACACACACACACACACACACTGACACCTCCCAATCCTTACCCCTCCCTTTTCCCCAAACAGGAGAAGGTCGCGAATGCAATGGACAAGCTGACGGCTGCACGGCAGATGATGAAGCAGCAAGGCATGGACGAACAGGCCATGTTCCAGCGCGCGTTTCAAATGATGGCGGATCCGCAGTTCCGTGTTTCCGCCCTCCAAAACATGATGCAACAGCAGCAGCAGCAGGCAAGCAGCAGCAGCACCACCACTGTGCCTCCTTCCACCGAGAAGAAGAGCGAGTGATGCCGTGATGGTGTGTGTGTGTGTTTGTGTGTTTGTGTGTTGAGTTTGTCATTGCTGATCACCGACTGACACGCATTCACCACCGCCAACACAGCCATCATTGCCCCTCAAGCCACCACACATCTCGTTCCTCACCCCACCCGACTTTCCTACCAGCAGTGCATGTGCATCAGTGTGCGTTCATTCATTCACATGTGGTCAATAGTGCATACAGTCCGAAGTAAAGAAGAAAAGAAACGACAAAACAAGTTGGGTGAAAGCTCAAGAAATACATCAACCTCAAATCGCATCATCACACACTGCCAGCGTGTGCACGCCGTCAACTTGGGTCAACAGCAGCAACGCCACGACGTGATGTGGCAACAACATACGAAAAATAAATAATACAATCGTAAGGCAAGACGCACGCGCTCGCACACAACGTTGGTGTTGTGGGACAAATTGTGTCAAGCGTCACATGAGAGGCACGGCACAGCGGCGCAAGTGGACGAAACAACGAAGAGAAAGCTGTCGTAACAATATAGGAGATAGATATGGACAGACATACACAGACACGGACGGACAGACAGACAGACAGACGGACAGACGGGCAGACAGACGGACGGACAGACAGACAGACACACACAGACACAGACACACACACGGTCAGAGGCGAAGGAATCACTCCCGCAGGGCGGTTGCGCTGGCGCGGAGTCGATTCAAGACGTGCGCAACCAAGTCATCCTCTGCCCTGCGCCGCCCATTCACGCCATTATCATCACCGTCACCATCGATGGCTGTTGCGCCGCCAACCGTGGACGCATCTGTGTCAAACTGGTTGTGAAGTGACGACGACAGCGTCGCTGCTGGGTTGAATCCACCGCCATCGTGACCACCACCAACACCACCACCAACACCACGCGCAGCGCTGCTGAGGCCCCGGTAGCCGTCCTTGTGCGAGAGGGTGATATGAGGAGCGAAGCTTGGCAGCTGCATGTCCTCAATCTGAGTCATGCTCCCATCTTCCTCAAACGCATCAAAGCCTCCGCTCATCGTCTGCTCATCATCGTCACCAGCGCCACGACGGCGGTGGTGGTCGTTGCCACGATAAGAGCGTGCAATCCACTCCCTGATGCGTCGTGGTCAAGAAAATGGAGGTGCGTGCGTGCGTGCGTGCGTGCGTGCGTGCGTGCGTGCGTGCGTGCGTGCGTGTGTGTGTGTGTGTGTGTGTGAAGAGGGGACGTACGTTGTGGGATCTAGCGTGAGAAGCAACACGAGGTGCTGGCGAGCAAACATTCATAAAAACAAACGCACACACACGCTCACACATACAAATGCCAATCTCCTCCCTCCTCCCAGCCCAACAAGCGCACCTGGTGTGGAGCTCGGACGGGAGACCAACAGACCGAATCGCCGATCGAATAGCGGATTCGAGTGGGGAATTGCGGCCAGAGGTGTCGGAAGAATGCTTGATCAACGACACCCCAGGTGTCACCAAGCCACCCGTGTTGTTGCCATCACCACCACCACCGCCACCACCATTGCTGTTGTTGCTGCTGCCCTGAGCAGCGCCGAGCGCACGTGCTGTGCGGCCAATCCCACCACCACGACCACCGCTGCGATCACCACCACGACTGCCACTGCCAGTGTTGCCCGTATTGGTGTTGGCGCCGCGCCCAGCAATGCTCAGCTCCTGGAGTTGGTTGCGGGCAAACGACGCTGCTGTTGATTCGTGCGGCACCTCCCCCCACTGCACCTCCTCAAACACATGCGAGTCGTGGACACGTGTGCGCCGCGACAGCGATGGTCCCGCACGTCCCGTCTTCCCAGTCGTCACCAGCGGCGTGCTGCTGCTCTTCATCCCAATCTCCGCCACAACACCCGTCATGGTGGCAGGATGGCGGTGCTGCCGCCGCCGTGCAAATGCTGCTGGTTCAGTCGCTGCCGCTGCCGTTGCTGTCGTTGTTGCGCTGGGAAGGCGTGCTGATGTTCCCTCCCCTTTCCCACCGCCATCATCATCATCATCATGACTGCTTGTCTTGATGCCAATGCCATTGTCACCACCATCTTGCTGCCGCTGCTGCAGCAGTGCTTGCTTCTCACGAGCAACAGCATCACCATCATCGCCATCGCCACCACCACCACGAGCGGCAGTTGCGCTGTCGCCGTCGTGTCGGCGGCCGGTGGTGTTGTTGTTGACAATGCGTGTGTTGGCACCACCACTGCCAGCAACAACAGGTGTGTTGACAGCATTCTTCCTGGCCGTGTTCTTGGCGGCGATTGGCGGCGGGCGCGTCGCTGCGATGGGAAGCGTTGTTGCGGCATCACTCACCTCCCTCCTGGTTCCACCAAGCACACCACCATCATCATCATCGTCATTATCATCATCAGCGTGGTCACGGATGTGGTCGGTCAACACGGCGTTCCTGCCGCCTCCAACTGCACGACCTACAGCAGTACCACCTGCCCTCGTCGTCAAAACACCTGCTGTTGCTGCTGCTGTTGGGGGCCACTGCCATGCCGGCTGCTGCTGCTTCTCTGTTGCCACCATATACGCGTGGAGCGCAGCCGTGCTGCGATGCTCATCCGTGCCACCGCTCTCGGCGTTACCGTAACCACCATTGTCACCACCGCTACCACGTGCAAAGCGCCGCTGCTGGTGCTGTGGGCTAGATTGCGGTAGCGGTGACGGGTTGGACGGCGCCTGGGGAGTGGCGGTGATGGGATGGGTCATGGCCATCGTGTTGTCGTGGCTGCTGCTGCCAGTGGTGGTGGTGGCGAGCGCACGAGCACGGCTCTCGTCGTTCAGTCGCGCTGCAATGATCCTGGGGGGGGGCGGTTTGGTGATGCGATGGGATGCGATGGGATGGGGGTGTTGTGTGAGGGTGGTCGTAGTGCAGCCCACAACACTGCTTGGTGGGTAAAGCGAGGCAAGAGCAGACAAACAGACAAACATGCACAAACACACACACACACACACACACACACACACACACACGCTCATCGCGTACCTGACTTGTTCACTCATTTGATCAAACTTGGCGTTGAGAGCGCGAACATCGGTGTTCTGCTGTACATTTGTCGCCTGTCGCGCGTCCTCTGCCGGTTGTTGCTGTTGTGGCGTTTGGGACAAGCGATGCAGCATTTCATGTTGCCTGCAAGCACACAAGCAAAAACAGCGGCACAAGCTATCAGCACAGCCACAGCTCCCGTCATTTTCACGCAGCCACACACACACATACACACACACACGCACGCACACACACACACACGCACGCACACACACACACACACAGACACAGACACAGACACAGACGCACACACACATACACACACCAGGGTAACTCACTTGTTGAGGATGTGCTCAAGCCGCGTGACTTTCTGCTCCAATTGCGTTCGCGCACGGTCGCCGTCCGCCAAATAACCTGTCAGGCGTGTTATCAGCAGTACCATCTTCTCTGCGAACACAGCAAACGCCTCCCCGCCATCGCCGCCAGCACGGCTGCTCGCTGCAGCGCCGCGTGCGTAAACTTCACCACCACCTCCGCCACCGTGGACAGCACCAAGGCTGCCACCGTGATGCGCATCATCTTCATGAGCAGCATCACGAACACCGTCAGCATCGGCAGCAGCAGTAGCGTGAGCACCGTGTGCTGTGCGTGTGCGATCAAACTGGGGTGATGAGACGGCTGGACGGCCGCTCGCGCGTTCATATGCGGCAACACTCCGACTCAACGCATCGCCCAGACGCGAAAACGAATCAAGACGGGACCCGCTCCCCGCTGGCAGCGACGACGACGACGACGCATGTGGTGGTGGTGGTGGTGCTGCTGCTGCTGCTGGTTTTGGCTTTGGTGCTGTTGTCGTTGGCGGTGGCGCCGTCACATCTTGGCCGCTTCTTGCAGCAGAAGGCATCGCTGTTGCATGAGCAGTTGTGCCTGCATGCAACGGGTGACGCTGCTGCAGCTGTTGCACGTCGGCCTTTGGCTGGGGATGGTGCTTGGGTGCATTGTGCTCGTCGTATTTGAGAGCTTCAAGCGAAAGCGGCGATCCCCGATGTTCATCCTCATCGCCCCCAACCCGCGCGCCCTTGCCTGCAGGCAACAAGCCACCGCCTTCACTCTGTTGCTGTTGTTGCTGCTGCTGCTGCTGCTGTGGCGGGGAGCGCGTCTTGTGCGACGGCGCGTGCTGCGAGTAGTATGTCTCGTCTTCGCTCGTCAGCTTGTGTTTGCCAGAGGAAGGTGTGGCCGTTGTTGTGCGGACTGCATGTTGCTGCTGTTGTTGGCGATGGGATCGGTGCTGCGCTGCTGTTGGTACAACTGGTGACACATCATCATCGGCATCATCTTGAGCGGCAGCGTCAGCATCAGCATCAGGGACTGCCATCCTCTGTCCAGGTTCGTGTTGTTGATCGTGGTGCTGTGGCGGTGATGGCGGTAAGGGGTGACGACGCAGTGCACCATCCACCATCGACTCATCATCATTGTCATCATCGAGGTTGTCCTGACGGCCATCGCCACCACCCACACCAGTATCACCATTGGCACCACGACTGGCACCAAGATGATCACAACCATCATCATCCTCCGGCTGCTGTGGGGACTGCAAGTCAGTTGCGCAGAAAGAAACGAGTGTGAGCGCTGCAAACGCCAAAACATCTTCACCAATTCCACGGACACCATCACACACCGCGCAGCACGTGTGCACCACACATGAGCGCACCAACACCACAGTCTCACCTGCATAATCGTTGGCAGCACTTCCCGCTCCGCCCGCACACGCGTACGTCGACCACCACCACCACCACCACCACCACCACCATCATCATCACCACCACCACTGATCCTTCGGGCGTGTGCTCTGGTCATGGAGCGGTGTGGTGACTCCGGGTCGAGTTCCGAAACCTGCAGGTGTTTCAGCCCCTCCATCGCCGCCTGCGACTGCTGGATGGCCCACTGCTGCACGCGCTCGTAGCTGGCGCGCTGCATGGTGCGTACCTGGTGCGCACTCGTGTCTGGGGGGCGGGAGCGGGAGTGGTGGTGACGGCGTGGTGTGAAGGTTAGCGATCGAGTGAGAGAGAGAGAGAGAGAGAGAGAGAGAGAGAGTGTGTGTGTGTGTGTGTGTATGTGTGTGTGTGTGTGGGAGTGTGTGTGTGTGTGTCAAGTGAATGTGAAGCTGAGGCGTGTGCAATTGAGACGCCAGACACAATTCGCATCCTCCCGCAACAAAACCACCCCATCTTCAACATGCATGCACGTCCGTGCGCGTTGCTCACCTCTGCCCAACAAGTGCTGCTGCTCCACGCGTGCGTGACCATCAGCATCAGCATCAGCATCAGCATCAGCATCAGCGCCGGCGTGGCGGGTGCTGGGCGGTGTGTGTTTGCGATGATCAGACACAACGCGTTTGAAGCGCTCCAAGTCAACATACGACACAAACTCATCGTCATCACCATCATCATCAGCAGGGCGTTGTTGCTGTGCTTCTGCAGTCCGTGGCGATGAGTGCTGCAGTTGCTTTGGCGCATACCCAGGCGAGTGCTTCTGCCTATGCTGCTGGTGTTGCTGTTGGTGTTGCTGGTGTTGCTGCTGTTGTGTTTGCTGATCGGCACTGGCTGGCGAGTGCTCTGGTGCCAACAGCTGGAACTCGCTGCTCCTGCGCGTGTGTGGGTGTGTGTATTCGTCGTCGTGCTGTGCGGCAGAATACACTGTTGCAGCCGCAGCCACTGCCAGACCCTTTCCCTGCCCGCTACGCTGCATTCGTTGTGGTTGGCGCTGCTTCTGGTGCATGTGGTGATCGGGTGCGCGTGTTGCCTGCCGCTGACGCTGACGGCGGCGGCGCTGGTGTGGATGGGGGTGGTGGCGGGTGGGACGAAGCACACGCAGCAGCTGCCCCGTCTCGTTACCAACCACCAAGCTGTCATCGTCATCTTCATCATCATCATCGTCATCATCGTCATCGTCATCATCATCACCAGCGCCACGCCCAAACCCGTATTCACCATCACCATTGCCATCGTCGCTGTTGATCGCGTCTCCACCAGCACGGCGGTGGCGGTGTCGGCGGTGTTCACGTGCGCGGGCGATGGCGTTGATGTGCGTATCATCAGGATCAGCCACCACCAGCCCACCACCACGTTGTTGTTGTTGATGGTGGTTGTGGTGGTGCCGCCGACGCTGCTGGTGATGCTGGTGGCGATGACCGGGTGCGGTTGAGGGCAGCAAGACGTCGTGTCCCGCCATCACCACGCGCCCATCTGCTCTCCGCTCAAATCCGGCGGTGGTCGTGTTGAGCGCGGGTGCACCGTCCACTGCCCCGCCCGTCACGACACTGCTGCTCCCCGTCTCAACACCACCATGGGGATGGTGGGGGTGGTGGTGCTGTTGATGGTGGTGCTTGTGCGCGCGGCCAAATGGCCTGTGTTGCACGAGGTGGTGTGGATGTGTGCCGCTCGAATCACTCAACAGCACATCAGCATCGTCGTCGTCGTCAGCATGATGGGTGATGACCACATCATCATCATCATCATCATCAATATCAATATCATCATCGTCATCATCATCGTTATCCAGCATGTCGACAGAATCAGATGTGCTCTCGTCATCTGGTGGGACGTGTTGGGAAGGGGAAGAGACAGCGGTTAGTGTATGAGTTAGCATTCGTGCATCTGACATTTGAAGGTGCACGTGAGTGTGTATGCGCGAGTACATGTACATGCGTGGCATCATGCCTCACCGTAGATTGCGTCAATGTCATCTGCATCAAATGGCGCCGACCCTGCACACATGCACAACGTGTTAGACACGCAGCACGCAAGTGTGGGCAAGAGAGAGAGAGAGAGAGAGAGAGAGAGAGAGCGAGAGAGAGAGAGAGAGAGAGAGAGAGAGAGAGAGAGAGAGAGAGAGAGAGAGAGAGAGAGAGAGAGAGAGAGAGAGAGAGAGAGAGAGAGAGAGAGAGAGAGAGAGAGAGAGAGAGAGAGAGAGAGAGAGAGAGAGAGAGAGAGAGAGAGAGAGAGAGAGCAGAGAGAGAGAGAGAGAGAGAGACAGAGAGAGAGAGAGAGAGA